CAGGGGTTTTCCTTAATGCTAGCAGTAGTTCAAATTGTGAATGGAACAAAGCCACAGGTCAATGAAATCTGTTTAGGATATATGACAAATTAGCCTAAACTGCCCTGGATGCAGCTTCAGGCTCGAGTCTGACTCAGTTATGCAAAATTCATGTTTTCACATTTCATGAAGTTGTATCACATTTGCAGTGATAAAAAGTGGAGGAGACCTTGGCCTATTGGTGCCCAAATCTCAGTGTCTGAACCAGGAGCACAAGCACAGGTAGCATTATCTACTCAGGGAGACTGAGCACAGCTTTAATTCCTTTATTATTTGCATATGATAATTGAATTATTTGTATCTGTTGTTGATAGTTTTATCTTCAGGCCAGTAAAGATGAACTAAGTGTTCATTTAATTTTTAAAGTCCCATTTTCAGTAGCTCCTTTGGAATAATAGCATAGTCTAATTCTGAAAACAGTTTCCAGGCATATGCATCTATTTCAAAAGATGTTCATGCCATTTTAATGCCAAGTGTGCCCAGTGAGGAACTCAGAACTAGGCAGGTTCATACATGGCTAGATTTCCCTTTATGTATCATAGTAACAGAACATTTTTGGAGTACAGGAAGCAAATTGCACTTGGCCCATCCAACTCAAAATAATCCAGGCTGACAAGCACCAGGGCTTCATACAGGAGTCTTTCCCAGCCATTTTTGGAGATATGAGGAATGGAATCTGGACCTTTTGTGTGCAAACATTGTGCTCTGAGGTACTTCTAAAAACAAACCTGTTCTAACAAACTTTCTTGTGTTGGCTTCTTGAGCAATCAGAGTTCTTGTTCTCAGCATAGCTAGAATGATAGCAGTAACCAGCCTCAATGAGCTGTGAATTGGTAACTCAAGATCAAGTGTGGTTTAACAGGGGAGGGGGGACTTGAGGTTGGCTCTGAAGCTGCAGCTAGTTTAGAATGCAGTGATTGGATTGCTCAGTGGAGCTTCTGCCTGTCTAGGAGCTCAGCTCCTGAGCCACGTGCAAGGTGCAGCTGTTGCACTGCATGGCCTCAAACGATTCTGGAGAGGATGATCTGAGAGACACCTGTTGAGGAGAGGGCTCGCCGACTGTATCACAGCCCACTGATGCTCACATGGCCACAGCACACAGTAGGGTCTTTTCTCTACCTTGCGTGGTGTCTGCAATGTGGAATGTTCTTCCCACTGAGATTAGGCAGGCTCCTAGTGTGGATCGTTTCTGCAAAAAATAAAGTATCTGTATCATTATCCTCAGCATTGACATTGCTAGCTATCATTGGTTGTTCTAATGTGATATGTTATTGTTTTACTACTACTGTTTTCTTGCATTTATTTCATTATCATTTTATTGGGAATATTAATTTTTAAACAAAAACTGGTATAACATTTTACGAAGACAAAATATTTTGCTAGGAAGAATATGGGGCCTATTTATTCATTTATTATTTCATTTCTATACCACCTGTAGCCAAAGTTCTTGTTTAGTTTATGTCCTGCTTTTTTCCTGCAGGAAAACAAAGGTCAATCTGGAATGGCTGGCCTGGGACTTAGGAGGTCTGGGTTTGAGTCCCTACTCAGTCATAGACTCTCTGCCTAGCCTGCCTCACAGGGTTGCTGTTCTGGGGATAAGATGGAGTGGACTAGAACCTTGTGTGCTGTGTTGGATTCCTTGCAAAGGGAAGAGAATCAGGGTATAAATGTAATGCAATAATCATAATAATGTGGTTTACATAGCCTCTTCCTCTCCATTTTATCCTCACAACAACCCTTCAAGGAGGATTTGGGTGAAAGTTAGTGGCCCAAAGTCACTCACTGGGCTGCATGGGCAAATGGGGACTAGAACCTGGATCTCCTGAGCCAGTCCAGCACTCTAACCACTAAACCACACTGGCCTCTGTTGAATTAAAGGTGCCTGTGACCAGGATGATTTTCCCAACCTGAGTGCAGCATCTAGATGTTTCATTTGACTACTTCCATCAAGACCAGCCAGCATGGCTAATGATCAGGGATGATGGGAGTTGGTAGGGCAAGCATATGGTATGACCCAGGAAAGCAGAAAGGAAAGGAGGTCAGGAAGTGGGACTTTCCTAAACATTCCAAGAAATGGAGGAGTGGGGAGAGAGAATGACATTTAGTGGGCCTTTGGGCTGCTCAGTAGGAGTGCATCTTGTAGTTGACCTAACCATTAAGAAGTCTGCTTTGTTGTGCTGTTCAGACAAAGCCTCATTCAGGAGGAAATGTCCTCTGTCCTTCTCATCTGATCAGAATTGAGTGGAGCTTGGCACCATAAAGAACAAAACAACTTGCTTTGGAAGGGGATTCTTCTTTCAGTACAGCAGCTCCAACTCCAGTTGATTATAAACTTCAATAGGAAACTTGCATTGAACAGAGAGGGATGGACCACAGAGCAAATTTCAGTTTGTTTGTTTATTTATTTAATTACATTATATCTGACCTCTTTTCCTGCAAGGAACCCAAGAAAAGTCTCTGCCTTCTATTTTATTTTCATAAACTTTGAGATTGATTCAACTGAAATTCAGTGACCGATGTTCTCTGTCCTGAAGACACTGGATGTTCCAGCTATCAGACCAACTAGTTCAGCCTACTAACTGAGAAGAACTCTCCAGGGTTTCCAGCAGGAGTCCTTCCTAATCCTACTGAGAGGTACTGTGGATTTGCACCTGGAAGCGTGCAGAGCATATGGTTGACCACTGAGCTCCAGCCCTTTCTTCACCTTAGCATTCTGGAACACTCACTACCCCAGCAACACATGATGGTGTGATTCCACATACTTCATATACCAGAGAGCTCAGGCACAATTCTAAGGTGATACATAACTGAGATCTTGCCTTTCTTCAAAGACTGCTCTAGTCAGCATAAAGAGTTCTGACAAGTGTATGCCCAAATATTTGGAGGGCCACAAATTGCCCACACATTACAGTACTGGCAAACCTTTGTTGGGGTGCTTCAGTAACAGCCAGGAGACGGGAAAACTGGGTTCAGTCAGGAAAGACCCTTTTGCCTTGAAGATCACTCAGGACCCCTGCAGTTACTTACGACAGCATGCTACTGGGTTTTGGTTCTCACCACCAACTACAAACTTTTAGAACGTATACAGAGTGTTTTATAGATTCTGAGTCACATGGGCTCAGCAACTGGCAGTTGATGAAATAAGGTGAACAGAGTCAAAAGAAGGCGAGAGGTCTGCAGAAGCAGCTCAATACAATGCCACTGATTACAGATCAGCATTGGCCTTCTCAGCAGCATCTCTGCCAAGAGCTCTGAGGGAAGTAATGCAAATGTAGTAAGAACATGCGATCCAGTGGTCCAGCCCTGATATATAATGGCTAGTGCAGCTGGATTTTTATTTTAGGCATGTATATGTGCCTGTAGTGTGGCTTGGCTGTGCCCTGCGTCCCCTGGAATTCCTCCTCTTCACCATCGCAACCTGCTCGTTCCCCGGCAACTCATGCTGGCCCAGACAGAGGAAGTGATTGGCAGCAGCAGGAGGAGATGCCATGCTCTGCTTGCTCCCTGGCTGTCCGCCTGTCCAGCAAGCAAATGTTGGCAAGCGACGGGAAAGAGGCAAGAGCACCTGGTGCCAATGGCAGCGAGGAGGGCGACCCGCTGAGGAAGTGGCCCTTCAGGATGCCTTGCCGGGGGGCCCTCAAAGCCCTGGAGCTGGCCACACGAATCCCTTGGAACAATTCGCTCGGCAGGAATATTTCCGCAGAGCACCTGTATTCTCCATGGTCCGATCTGCCAGGAGGTCGGTGGGTGGGTGCAGTGAGCTGAACCACTAGACTGACGAATGGCCATCGTTCCCCTCCCGCTGTGATTTTTTGTTGATTGATTGACTATTTTTGCAAAGAGCGATGACGCTGAGCAGAACTCAGGCTCAAAGCCCACGAACGTGCTTATCTGTCCTTACTAGAGAGGGAAATCCACGGAGGGGAAGCGGCGCAGCAGCTGCCGTTGCTTGCAGATCGTCTCTCTCGCCCTCCCTCCCTCCCTGTTTTGCGCAGGCTCAGCCTCCCCCCACCCCAAACTCCTCTCTGGAGAAGCATCCCCTCGGGAAGTGCATCTGTAGCCGATAATACCAGGTATTTCTTTCACGAAATCCTGCACCTTGGGCCTCTACACGCGCTGTCGCGGGACCCTCGTCCTTCCCCGGCTGGCACTGGAAAGACCCACGGCGATGGCGACGGGGAGGAGGAGGAGGAGGAAGTGGAGGAGGGAAGCCCGGCATTCCCTGCGAAAATCGTGCTCTAGGAGACGGTAGAGAGCGAGCAGAAGGTAACAGACAATAGGAAGGGGGCGGCGGGCGAGGAAAGGCTTCGGCGATGCTGGAGGAGCGGCGGCGGCGGCGGCGGCGGCGGCGCACCCCTGAGCGGGAAAGCGAGGGGCTCGGGCGCTTCTCCCCGCCCCGCAGCGTCCCCCGCTCTCGTGCATCCCCCCTGGGAGCCTTTTAAAGTTTCATGATGGCCGCGCCCTGACCAGTCTCCCCCGGAGCGTTGCGCGCGGGAGGGAGCGCGCGCCGTGCTGAGGCGGCGGCGAAGGCGGCTTTGCTCGGCGGAGCGCAGCATGTCGGAATGGGGGCGCCCGGCGCACGCACAGCCTGAGCGCGCCGCTGCTCTGCGGGAGGAAGAAGGCGCCGCTGGCCGGACGCGAGAGGCAGCCGGGGAAGGCGGGCGAGCGGGCGAGCGCGCCAGCCGGGCGGGGCGACGGATCGTGCCTTCCATCGCGCGGAGAAGCGAGCGGGCTCTGGCGGGTGGCGTGGATGGCGGGGCAGCGCGCTTCGGCGGCGGCCGTGGCGGCGGCGCTAGCCTGTCTTCTGGGCGAGAGCACCATGTGGCCGAGGCAGGCCGGGCGAGGAGGCGGTGGTAGCCACTGAGGGAGCAGCCGCCCGCTCCAGCCCTGCCCCTTTCCCTCCGCGGCGTTCGTGCACGGGTGTCGGGGAGCAGGTGGGCAGCCCTCCTCAGCCTCGCTCAATGGCGAACGCCAGCGAGCTGGCAAGTAGCAGCAGCAGCCCGCACCTGCCCAGCCCCGGTGGCCTCCTCAGTGCCTCTGGCCTCAAGCTCACCACGCTGGGCTTCATCCTCTGCCTGAGCCTGGCCGGCAACGTGCTCTTCGCCTGGCTCATCCTCAAGGACCGTCACCTGCACCGGGCCCCCTACTACCTGCTGCTGGACCTGTGCCTGGCCGACGGCCTGCGCTCCCTGGCCTGCTTCCCCTTCGTCATGCTGTCCGTGCACAGCGGGTCTGGCGCCTGGCCACACAGCCCGCTCAGCTGCAAGGTGCTGGCCTTCCTGGCCGTGCTCTTCTGCTTCCACGCCGCTTTCCTGCTCTTCTGCGTGGGCGTGACACGCTACATGGCCATTGCCCATCACCGCTTCTACGCCAAGCGCATGACGGGCTGGACTTGCCTGGCCGTGGTGTGCATGGTGTGGACCCTCTCCATGGCCATGGCCTTCCCACCCGTCTTTGATGTGGGCACGTACAAGTTCATCCGGGAGGAAGAGCAGTGCATCTTTGAGCACCGTTACGTCAAGGCCAACGATACTCTGGGCTTCATGCTCATGCTAGCCACTGTCATTGCAGCCACCCATTTGGTTTACATCAAGCTCCTCTTTTTCATCCACAGCCACCGCAAGATGAAGCCAGCACAGTTGGTGCCTGCCATTAGCCAGAACTGGACCTTCCATGGCCCTGGGGCCACCGGCCAGGCTGCTGCTAACTGGACTGCTGGCTTTGGTCGGGGCCCCACCCCACCCACCCTGGTGGGCATCAGGCAGAATGCTACCCACAGCCAGATTAAGAGGCTGCTGGTCCTGGAGGAGTTCAAGACAGAGAAGCGGATCTGCAAGATGTTCTACATGATTACCCTGCTCTTCCTGCTGCTCTGGTCCCCCTACATTGTGGCCTGTTACCTGCGTGTCTTCATCAAGGCCAGCACTATCCCCCAGGTCTACCTGACCACCTCTGTCTGGATGACCTTTGCCCAGGCAGGTGTCAACCCCATCCTGTGCTTCATTTTCAACAAGGAGCTCCGAGTCTGTTTCAGAGCTCGTTTTCTCTGCTGCCAAAGCATCCAGAATACCCAAGGCACCATTGTGTGTGATCTGAAGAATTTTGGGATGTAATTTTATCTTCTTATTCACACAAACAAATTAATCAGCTCTATGTTTTTTTGTTGTTGGCATATGCACCTGAAGGAGACACCTTGATATCTCTCTCCTCCTTAGGTTCTATGAGGGTATTTATTTATTTATCTGTGTATATGAGAGGAACATTTTTTGTGTGTGGTGGGTGGGTGGGTGGAAGGGTAATAACACATGGCTCCGCATTTCTTGGCTGCTTCTAGCATTTCTACAAACAGTTCTGATATGGATAAAAAGGCCATACTTTTGTGTTAGATTTTGTTTTTTTAAGCCCTACCTGTTTTGATAAAAGCTAAGTGATTTTATTCGTGTTACAAGATTTGATAAAAGGCCAAGATGAAATTTTATACTGAAGTTATTTTTGATGACCTCAAAATATTGTATTACAGTGTTTGTTTTTAAAGGGTAATCAACAAAGAGAAACTGTACTGTGTTTCAAAGCCAGTTCTTGCTGGGGATCTTTGGGGTTAATTTTATTTCAATGCTTAAAACAACAATGTTCTAACTTTGCCTGACTTAGAAACATAGGATGTAATCCTAAATTATATTCTAATTGTACTCAAGGTACTAGGTCATTTCCTGTTGACCTGAAGAAATTAGGTTCACTTTCTGTGATGTAGAGCCAAGTAACATTTTCTTCTTGCACTGCTCCTTTATAGTATGTTGGTCCCCTTTGAAAATCAATAATTTTAAAAGCAAAATGATCACATATCAACTTCAAAAACTGTCAGTATCAGGTTTTTAACTAACACTGAATTTCATACTTTACTAAGTATGTAGCTTTATAAAATGGTACCTACAAACTGGATAATACTTGTACATTTTGACTGTTTTAATAAAACACTTCAATTTTCGTACATGAAATGGCTTTAGAATGGCTGGGTTATGCTTTGTTTTCCACTGTTGTCTCTGTCAAGGTGTTGCTTGCCTAAAGTATGGGCAGAACAACAGAATTTTTAATTTGCTCTCATACTCTGGCTGCAGTCCAGAGGATGTATTCTTATTTGGGAGTAGGTCCCAGTGCACACAATAGAACTTGCATCTGAGTAAGCACATGCAGGATTGGGCTGTTACATATCATTAAAAGGGCTGCATGTTTCTAAAAGCTATATTTTCAGCTCATGGTATATCTGAATGCATAAATAGAACAACTAACCACACACATCTGCTGAAATTAATTTCTATTTGAACATGGCTTTTCATCTGTTAATGTCAGAAGAGTCTCTAGATAATTTCGGATCACTAATTTTAGTAGACAAAGCAGTTCCTGCTCATAATTGCATAGCTGCTTATCTGTCTTGCCCTGTTATATCAGAGATCATTTTAAAATATTAATATCCTGATTTTTTTTTAAATTGCAGATTTTGCAGTAAAAAGTTTCTAAAAATATAACTGAGCTAACATTTGCTACTTAAAACTACTTTTGCTGAGTTCACTTTTGGAAATGCAGAAGTCCTGTTCATCTTTCAGATTTGGTTTTAAAAAGCAACAAGGAGGGAAATACTAGATAATAGTACAGTGACCACCAGCAAAAACATTAACAACAAGGTGACCAAAACTTCTGCCATCCCAATCTCTCGAAGAATAGAGATGTAAAAATTTCTGTAACTGTGGAATGAATGAATGCATTAGTTAATAAAATTAGTCATGGGGATGACATTGAAGTAAATGCACTATTTACTTGCTTCTCAAACTGAAAACTAACTTTTTAAAGAACATAAATATATATTCTCCCATTCACAGAACTATTCATTCAGCTCAGGTAAGGGACTTCAATCCAGCAGAAGTGCGCATCAGCAACAGAGGGAGGGGAGCCAACTTTGGCTCATTTCCTTTTCCAGCATTTAGTACTCCCTTCTATGCTGCTCTGGAGGATAAACTCCAGTACAGATTTAAGAGGCCACAGTGGGAAAGCAAAACTGATGAAAATAATCTTTGCCCTTTTGCCAGCTGGAATATCCAAAGAGCTGAGTTTGTTCAGAGGAAATTTACATCCTATTACATTTTCTGTAAGCCTGTGCAAGGCTGTAGAAATTTGTGATGTCTGGGCAAGTATACATGATCTTTGTTTTATGACAACAACGGTTTCAAATATACCCAGGGACAGGGATGAAGCTGTAAGTGGTTTCATGCATAATAGCTACTATGCAGTCTGTTTCTATGTGGGTTTACTGGAAGTTAGTCCAACATGTCCAGTGGTACTTATGCTCCAGGTACTTACGCCTAAGATTGTAGTCTAGGTATAGTGAGGATTGGTTAGTTTGGAAAATTGGGAGAAAATAAAATGCAAAAGATAAACAGTTTAAAAGAGAAGGTATCAGGTATCTTTTCCAAAAATATGGGCAGAAAGATGAGTGGTCCCTGAGGAAGAAAATTGATTTATGAAACACATTTGGCTTATTAAAACTTTTTCCAGCACTTGAGAACATGTTGTTTGTTTGATTTTTACATGATTCATATCTTTCCTCCTCATTGCTGAAGTGTGTGTGTGTGTGTTAAGAAATATCATTGCAGAAAACAAAAAGTAAGTTGTTATGATCTGGGCTTAGAAACTCTTTATAGACCTCAATATTATGCATATTTGAAGGAAAAAAACAGGAAATAAATATCCCTATATTGAAATTCAGGCACAACATGTTTGGATATTGAATTACAATTTATCAGTGGTGCAATTTTGGACCCTGTCTTTTTGAGGTATCCTTCGACAGTCATGTATTACTTCAATTGTGAAACACAAATATACTTGAGAGTAAACACCATTTTGTCATAGAAAAGGATAATATATCTGAACATGTAAGTAAAAAAAAAAAAAAGAACATCTGCCTGTGTATACCTGTTTAACAACCCCTGGACTATAAGTTTTTTTTTAAAAGGGGTAGGGTTGCTCAGCAAGCCGCATCAGTTGGTTGTTGGTTCGGATATGAGGTTGTTGGTTCAGATACGAGTCCAAGGTTGGCTCGGATACACGGCCTGTTTGTGATTGGCCCTGATCACTTACTACCTTCTGAATGCTCATTTTTGCAAAACCATCCCCCACAGGCCGTGGCTACTTGTACTTTGGCTCCAAGTAATGATAGCATAATGTAGATGAATTCAATGGTATTTCTTCATTACTACGCGCTGCAGGGTATGTAGAAATTATAAAAGGGCAAAAGTAGTTATATGATATATTAAATAACTTGTTTATTAGATGATAATCACAACCTGTCCCAGTAAATAAAACATCTTTGAAAATAATAATGTTCCTCTGGCATATTTAGTCAGGCTTGGGCAGTGTCCACAAGCTTCAGTTGACATCTGTAGCTAACCTAGATGTGTTCTCACCACAACCTCACCCCTTGGACAGGACAGGACAGGAGGAGGGCCAGCAAGCACTCCTGCTGTCACATTGAGCTTATGGCCCAGGGCACATTCTCCCTGGGGAGAAGCAAGGTGGCCTGCCCAGAAAGCAGCAAGTGCTTTTAGAAGTGTCTCAGAGCAGCAGACAAGCTTCACAGGAATCACAGCATCCTAATTTGCCCTCACCAAAACCACAAACATCCTGAAAGAACAGAAGGTTTGTGAGTCCATTTTTACAATATTATATATTTTTGATTTTTACAATCTTTCAACAAAACCAAACGTGAGCTAAACAAAAACAAAATCATAGGAGTCATTACACAGGAAGGATCAGAGATGCATTATAGCCACATAGGACCCAAGATGCATTAAAGTGATCTTGAAAGTATTACTAATATATGTGTGTGTGTGTACACGCAGACACATGCACACATATATCCAAAGTTCCTGTTCCACATCACTAATAGGGGTTGTAGTAGATTGACCAAAGGTCAGAATGGGCTTTAAGATGAAGTTGCCATTGGTAGTATAATCTCTCAACGGATGCCAATATTGTGAGGCTACAGTTCATTGTATAGTCAGCATGAGGGCTTGTACAGTGCACTGGTGATGGCCAAGGAGAGCTTCCAGGGTGTGAGAATCTAATTCAGCAGTACAGTGACGTCTTTAAGCAAGAATGACGTATTCAGGGCAAACTAAAAACTAGTTGTCCACCACAGAGCATGTCCACATTATGGGCACTAATTATGCTTCTGCCATCCCACATCACCAACATGTCTTAGAGGGTGATAATTTTTTCCTGAAACCTGATTTTTTTCCTGTGAAATTCAGTATGTCCAAAAGAGCAGCTTTTGCTGTGTAAGGACACCATATGGATTGTATAGAAGGTCTAGCAATGGTGTGGCTGGATCTGGCATTCTAATTCCCCCTCCTCTCTGGGTGTCTGGATGTCAAGCTGGTGGTATGTATTTTTGTAAATATATGTTGTTGGATTGGTTGTCTTTGTAGGACTAACCCAGTCTTCCTATAACAGTGGGGATTCTGAAGCAGTGAAAGCTGTGAAACCATATAGGGAATGGAACATATGCTTTATTTGAAGAAGTTGCCAGTTTGTGTTTTGGGGCAGATGACACGTCCTTGCTAATTCCACAAAGAACAGAAGTTCACCATATTTACACATTAACTGATCTAAAGTGAGGATACCTTTCTCAGTCCACTGCCTGCAGAGGGACATTTTTTTGTCACTCTTAGATTTTGATTACAAGAGATGGTTGGTTTGGCATGTAAGAGAGGATGAAAGCAAATTTGATGAGCTATCACCTCCCACGTCTTTCTGACTGTCTGACTGTTGGGTGCAGTAGGGTCCTCTCTGTTTAAATCAGTGGAGCCCAGTGACACCCACTGGGTCATTGGTGTCAGATATGCAGATTATAGGCCTATTCAAGGGGGTTGTGGCAAAGAGGTAACAGACTGTTCTGTTACAGACTATTCCACAGCAGAAAGTATAATTTGTGATACACATTCAGATCAGGGAAGTTGAAGCCTTTTTCATCCATAGGCAGCTGTATTTTTCTAAGTGAAAGGTGTGGCAGGAAGTCTCCCTAGTACTTGTTGCTTTCACAGCTTGGTCCTGCTCAATAAATGTGGTGACCTTCTAAGGAGCATCCCTGTTCTTTTAACGGTTTGGGGGGGGG